GGGCCCCAGCCATGCCCTGGCGTTTGCTAGAGAAGCCCCCTGTGCGCTTACCCCTGAGCAAGGGTTTTGCAGAGCTTAACCTTTAGCAAGCAACAGTGATGCCATGATATGAGGCTGTGGGGTACCAGAAATGAGCCCAGGGTCTTTGCCAGGCACCCAGGGTGTTTTCTCCCTCTCTGCAACACCCAGTCCCTAGAAAGGCGATTTGCCACCCAAACTCCCCACCTGGTTTATAAGCAGAAGGAGCTGCCTGTCCCTCTCCCATGGGCACTGGCCAGAGGCTCTCACCCCTGGAGCCGGCTGTGGCCATAAGCTCCTAATCTCTGCCATATCTCAGATCATAAACATCCCCGTGCAAGGCCTGGCACGGCGCTGCCCCGACCTCCCCCTGCTGTGCTATCACCACAAGATAAAGCTGTCTCAAGCTGAACGTGGTACAAAACATTCAATTTTTATGGAGCCCTCTTATCTCCCGAAACTCAGAGCAATCCTGCCTTTTTATCACTGGGATGTGAGCCATCCTTTCTACTTATCGTTAGAAATTGCTGCTGCTTGATTAAGTACAGGGAATGATGTATTTGCCTGAACATTAAACTTTAACTGACCTCCCCTTCTCTTTAAGCATTGTGCTTTTTTTGTGCTGTGAGGCCATGGTCAGCCCTCACCCTGGCCTGGCTGGGTCCCTGGGGGTGCAGGGTGATGGAGCGGGAGCAACTTGGGGGCACAATGGAAAGCTGCAACAGCGTGAAGCATCTTGTGGTTTATGTGCAGGTGGGGAAAAATCGCAGTCCTGCAGTATCTGATGGCCCTCAGGCACAGGGGAGTGTGGACAGAAGGACTGGGCAGCTTGGAGTATCCCTGGAGCACCCATCTCCAACTGCTTCATCCCACGGCCAGCTCCCAGGGTGCTGGCGGGCGCATTGGGGCCTGTTGGGAGCAGCCACCCCTTACCAGCATTTCCCAGACCCCCCTATTTGCCCTCCCCACCAAATGTACCACCCTGGGGCCAATTTAGCAATCAATCACTATTTTTCTTTTTCCCTTAAAAAAAAGAAATCCGTGCAGGGTGTTACCCCCTGCTCTGAACAACCCTCCCAGCTGTAGCATGAAAGCACCCAGCTGCCTTGCTGCTCTCCACTGCTAATTTCTGCATGGAGGCAAGTGATTTGGAAAAGCAGATCTGGGACCCTAGGAATGAGAGGGCTCTCTGCTGGCTGCCCGCAGCACTCATGGTTGCCTCCTTGCACAGCGTGATGCAGGGAACAAAGCCCTACCAACAGAGCATGGCTGTCTTCCCTGGGCCCCTGACGTCCTGCAGTGGATGGGGCTGCTGGATGATGGAGCAGGGAAGTCATCCCAGAAATGCCAAGAAGCTTTTGGCAAAGAAAAGGCAGTGAAGACAGCTGGGGATTAATGGGCCAGCACTCCAGGTAGGATCCAAGTGCCTTCTCCAGTATGTGATGCTGCTATCATGAGAAGGTTTCAAGGACCTGATTTTATAGATGCCTAAATAAATACATAGTAATTGATATATAAAAATGCAACATTTATTTATTTATTTTGCAAGGGGAGTGGGATGTAATTAGATGGCAGTGTTTCTCTCAAGGCTATCCTGGCTGTAATTCATGCCCTGAGGCAGCCGGCCAAGGGGAGGAGGAATAAAGCAGGCAGCAGAATTGATGGGCTGCTCCCAGAAGCTTTGTTTTAATTAGTTTCCAAAGTGCTCCGTGTAGCAGAGCAGGCAGCTCCTTCAAAGCCTCTTTTCCCCTGCTGCTGCCCATGCTCTCATGCTTGTGCCACCGTGGGGCCTGGGGCAGCAGGGTGAGCCCAGGAGCCACCCCTGCTTATTCGAGCCCCCAGGCTTTTTGGTTAAAGTGTGCAGAAACTGTTCCTGTTTTTAGACAGGGGGATTTTTCCCTGGCCAAGAGGCCCCTTTAATGGCCATAGCGTGGGCAGGCATATTTGTCAGGGCTTTTCCTTTTCCCCTTTTATTGACTTGCTGATTCTCCCTGCTGCGAGGGGTCAGAGAGGGCTTTGGCTGGACTTTGCCGAAAGTCCACCTGAAACAGCGGGTTGCCAGGTGCTGACGCAGTGCCCTGCCCCTAAGATATAAGGGGACCGAGAACTGAGTTTGCAGCCTGGTTGGGTGCGTGGTGGCAGGGTTGGGGAGGGGCTGTGCCAGCTCCAAAGCTCTTCCTGAATAAGCAGGCTTGTGAAGCCGAACTGCGTTCGCTGGATCCAGCGAGGTGGTGGCAGTAGTAGCAGCTCAGTCCTGAATTAGGGGTGGCTTGGCTGACATGGAGGGATCCATCCCTGGCCAGGAAACCATGCCGACTGACATGGAGCCCTCCAACACCATCAAACTGCTACACCTGGTTTTCCTCTCCACTTCCTGGGGGATGCAGATCTGGGTGACCTTCGTGGCTGGTAGGTTGTGGTCCGTGCACACCGATGTGGGTTTCTGCCCTGGGGAGGTCCAGGGGAAGGGGCTTTGCCCCAGGACCTACCCACTCTCCCCCCTTGCAGGGTTCGTGATGGGCAGCCGCCTCCCTCGCCACACCTACGGCTTCATCCAACACGAGCTCTTCCCCTACTACTTCCACATTGGCTCCGCTTGTGCCTTCCTCAACCTGACTCTATTTGCCATGCACCACCCCAGCGAGCTGCTCAGCGATGAACAAGCGACCCAGGTAGCCTCCTGCTTTAAAATGCAAGCCGGTCATAGCTCAGATCCCCTCCTCTGGAGGGTCCCGCTCCGCTCTGCTCCACTGAGGCTGGCTTGCAAATGATGATGAGGTCCACACATGGCTCTGGTTAAAAGAAACCAGTTAGCGTCCAGATTGCGATGAGCCTTGTGTGTAAGAGGGGCCGGGGGAGAAATTTAATTGACCACACGTGTGAGACATTCATGGCCGGTGTTGCTCCCCTGCAGATCATCGTCTTCTTCATTTGCGTCACTGCCTCTGTGCTGAACACCCAGTGGTTTGGGCAGGCCACCTCTGACATCGTGGCAGACATGCACCTCATCGAGCGCAGCCACGGCCTTGGCCAGGAGGTTGGGCTGTTCACCAGCAAGTCCTGCAGGCAGCTGCGTGCCTCCAACCCTGGCTACAGGCAGCTCTCCGGGCAGCTCACCCTCTACCACACGCTGTCCTCCCTCTGCAACCTCTGCTGCATCGCATGCAATGGCTTGAGCTTGTATTACTTGGCTGCCCACTTGTCCGCCCTGTGAGAGCAGGACAGCGCGAGGCCAGGGCTGGCTGGCTGGCCACAACCGATGCTCTGGAAAAAGGGAGCCACCGTTGTGAAGTAACCCTAAACTTTGGAGATTAAATTTTAGCATCCTCAGATGGAAATACTTTTAACTGTATTTGTACACGGTGCAGAAATTTAGGAATAGTGAAATGGAAATGCTTTCTTTACAGCTGTCTGAATCTACCTCTGGAGTG